ATATTATGATGGACAGAACTGCATTTGAAGGCCCCTCCAAGGTATGATTTGAAAGCTAGAATGACATAAAGATTCCTGTTAAATTAGGCATTTCGAAGAGTTTCTCACATTTAACATGATTAGTTGACTTAACACTAGTATATATGTGACTTGACTTGAAAACAGTTCAGGTACTTAGCTGACTCCACGCCTAACAGAGCGGGCTCCACGGAATCTGTATTTTGCAGGCAGAAAGAACAAGCTTAGTTCTAACAGAGTCCCTGACAGAATTTACATTTTTAAACAAGGTTAATGCATACTTTTCTTCTCAAAAGCTGATTATGTTATTTAAAATGCATAACAGATGAATATTAAATCTCAAGAACGCTGCCAAATAATACCACCAAATTTTCATGTAGATTTTCCTCCAAGGAACAGAACTAAAAATACACACAAATACACTCAAACTACCCAGGCGACACTGGGTTCTTCTGGAATTTTTTTACAACGTATTTTATATTTAACCCATATGCTTCTCATGTGATTTTCCTTTTTATGGAAATGCAAGCTCTCTTTCAGGCATTTGGAAGAAACAGGGTATGTGGTGATAAGGGAAGCAGTATTTAATCGTTCCATTCTGAATCACGCTTGAAAATTACTTAGAGTCTGGACCAGATCCTTCCCAAATGAGCCCTCCCAGACTAAAGGCAAACAGGACGGAATGAAGCGAAGTATCAGCGCAATCATTTGTCATGTTTTGAAACAATGTAGTGACTTCTAGCACCAACATTATTACCAAATTCTAAAGGACTAATTTTAACTTAAAGATTCAGGGCCCATGAACTAGTCAGGACCTGCCTTACAGCAGTAAAGTGACAGGCGAGAGAGTGGGCGCCATTTCATCCAGCAGGATGAAGAAAAGGAAACTGGACGCCGATGGCCGGCCATTGCTGGGGGAGGGTTAGGAAGGAGGAGTTTGAATAGCAAACCATTTTCTGTCCTTTCTGGATGGTCGAGAACAGTCATTTCAAGAGCGGGTGGGCTCAGGGATAGGGACTGAGATGGGTGGGGTGGGGATGGTGGGGAGTTGGCCAGTCTTCATTCCCCAATAGCCTTGGCTCCCAGGAGTCTGCCCTGGAGTGCCTGGCCCACCTCAGATGGACACTCCCTTTGCTCTGCAGTTCTGCCTCTGCTCAGGGTGGCTGGGTGCCCAGGACGGCTGGGTGTCCAGACACCGAGTGCTAATGCACCCATACCCTGCTTCTCCCCCGCTCCTGAGCACAGATCAAAGAAGTGGGAGGCTGAGAACAAGATGGGGAACAGATGGCGGCAGAGGGTCTCTTGTTCATCTATTTATTCCTGATCATCCACGTCCCTGACTAGTGAATGAATGAGCTCATGAACATGCATTCCCTTTACAGACTGTGACGAAGCCACTCTGGAGAGACCAAATCGGGTTGTGAACATTTGACTGACTGGTTGCAGCTGCCTAGAGTCCAGGCCACCTCCTGCCCCTAGAGCTGGGCTGTTGATAAAGGGTGTGAGTGTCCAGCAGACCCCCCGACTCATCCCCAACTCTAGACCGCAGGCTGCAGAAGACCTCGATATTGCGAAGTATTGATTCTTCTGGCATTATCCATTTCCTAACATTAATCTCCACTTGTTTTTCAGGTTTTCCCAGTCCCTGTGGCTCAGTGGAAAGTCAATAATGGTTCGATAGAAAAACAAAGACTAGGCAGCGATGCAGGCCCCGCGCATAAACAGCTCTCTAGCTCAGACGCGGCGGAGCCAGACAAGAGACTTCAGGAGCCAAAGACAAGTTCTCGGCAATGACAGACACATGAGTTACAAACAATCGTTATTTCTTTCTTACAAAATAACAATTCTCTGGCAGCACAGTGAGAATTCTCCAAACTCCAGGTGAGAGGGCTGGTAACCGATGTCACCATCCTGTCATCAGGATTAACCATAAGACACAAATGAAGGCATGGTTATTTAAGGCACAACCCAAATTATGTTTTCCCTCACCATTGGTCTTTGCTAACAATTCTCACTGTTCTTTGAGAGTTATAACCTTGCTAAAATAGTCTTGACAGCCCTGAGTATTTTTTTTTAAGTTTTTTTTTTTTTTTTTTTTTTTTTGCCACAGGGTGCATGCCCTTGCTGAAGAGGAGAGAGACAGAGATAATGAGTGGGAAAGTGAGAAATCACCACAGGGAGGGTTGACCACCCCCCAAAATCCCTTCTCCTCCATTCTCCTCTTGGAATTCTGGGCACACATGCACATACACCCCAAGTGATTTCAAGCTGTTAGGTCTGGGATTTGAACCGTGGTCGGCCATGTGAGAGTGCAGTGCCTTAACCACTATGTCACCTGCTAGCCTTGGGTATTATTGTTAAAAAAACAGTGTACACTGAGGAGCTGTTTGAGGAACCATCATTCTCTTTAAAAAGATGCAAAAGAGGTATTCTTCCCTACTGAGGAAGTCCCCGTTGTCATTCCTCCAGAAACCACTCAGTTGGGTTGTATGTTAAAACAACAAACAAATGCCCACCTATAAAAACCCCGGAACCCCACGAAGAAGGCCATCTCCTCCTGTCCCAAGGACACAGTGACTTCTCAGCGTCCATATGGGGTCAGGCTCCTCTCTCACTTCTCACCAAGCTCCACCCTCTGTTGCACATTTCATAGAACACAAATTATGTCAATTAAAAAAAAATGCGAGCATAAGAAAATACTATTTTGACCAGAAACCATAAGGCCTGTTCACGTAGAGGTAATTGTGGAAAGACTCACAGAGTCTCAAAAATCAATCTGGCTGCTTCTCCTCGGCCGAAAATTAACTTGGCCTGCTAGCTGGCCAGGGACTACGGATGTTTTGCATGGCTGAGCACCAGCGAGACAGAAAAAGCAGTGTCAAGCTTTTGCAAATTAACACCGCTTAGTTGATGACACACTTTATTCCTGTTCTATACGCCTGGATGTTCAGTGCTGGAGCAATGAAAGAAAATGAAAAACAGACAAGGCTACTGTTTTAACTCTTTCATAGAAGAACCAAGATTTGGCTTTTGGTTTTATGACAAATACATATGCGTGTGCAAGGGGTCTTCAACAAGTTCACGGAATGTGTGTATTATGAAAAAGCCTATTCACGGCTTTCCATTTTGTTTTCGCACTAAAATAAGCTAAGTACCTGAATTTCATTTTTCCATAAGATTTTTGAAGTCCCCTGTATATATCTTTAAATCTGACCAACACTGTTCTTCCAAAAACTGCTGCTGATTTTCGCACAGCGGCCAGGCCAGCGTCATCTTCCTGATGACCACGGGAAAAACCGGTCTGCCTACTGGTGCTGCCAAGGCCGGGTGGCGGCCATAGTCTGAGCTTCGGCCCGCTCGCTCCCCATAGCCCAAAGAACCAGCATTCTGCTGTCTCCATAATCCAGCGGTAGAAAACAAACTGCTAGAAAACAAATCAGATGATGCAAACGAGAGCTCACTTTCTAAACAATTCCTTACAATTTTAGAAAAAAACCCGTGAGGTCTTCAGAAGGAAAAACATACCAGCTCTCTGAAGATTACCCCAACACACCCCTCTTCCTTTCCATCAGACTGAGAATGGGTACTGTAGAATGTGTGCATCAGAACTTGGGTAGCTCCAGGAAGACCGCAATGTGTGGGGAAGAGATTCAAGCCCTGTCACTGTACCAGCAAGCCGGGGGCCATCATTCCCAGGAGGCAAAGCAGACTCTGTGTTTAAGTCACAAATCTAGCTACATCAGCGTGAGAAATGAATTCGAATCTGCTGGCAGTACCGCTGTCTATAAAGATGCAGGAAAGGACAAGCACCTCTGGAGAGGGGCTGCTGATGACTGAGGGGGTTTTTTGGTGTGGTTTTTTCTTATTATTATTATTATTTAGAGGAGTCTAGGAAGCCCTTAAAATAGTATATGCCTAGATAATAATTTTTCTAGAGAGAGCGTCTATAGCTTTCAGAAGATTCCTCCAGACAGCCCTGACCTCTCGAATGACAAAGAATTCTCAGAGCCAGAGAAGTCCTCACTGCCAGCTGCAAACGCCTTTGAAACTACATAACAAAACAGATGGTGTTTAACCCTTATGAAAAAAGTTATAATGTAATTGGTGGGTTGTTCCCCCTCACAGCAGCGCTGCAGTGATCAATCTCGATAATGAGGTTCAATTGTGGAATTACCCTCCAGGATCCATAAATACATTGTACACAGTAGTTACAAAGGGGCTTCTCACAGAAGGCATTAAAGGACAATTTTACTGCATCATTATCTGGTATAAAACCAACATGCTACTCACAATAAATATTAATTAAGGATTAACTAAACAATATTGTTTGCCCTCTTGAAATTTATAAGAGCTTTCTTGGGGGAGATTTAAAAGGCCTAAGTTGCTTTACATTGCTTTTGTAAGTTTGGTTTTATTTCTCCCCCAAGAGAGAGAAAAAGGGCAGGGGACACTCGCCACAGCATCTTCACGTTCTGATCCACCCGTTTCGGCCAGCCTGGCTCACAGATGCGTGTACCATGCGCAGTGTATTTAGGGAGGTCTCAACACAAGCCAAGGACCTTCCCATGTGGGACTCCCATGTGGGACCAGCTGTGCCACCACTCCACCGCTTCCTGGCCTCAAGATGCCTACATTGCATTAAAAACAAAACTCCCAAAACCAGAAGTCTCAGGGAACGCCTTGATTCAGCCAGTGCTGAGGTTGAGGTTGACTTTGTGTTTTGGGGGTCAATGCTGGAGTCTGACGTCTCGAAGCCTGAACACAAAAGGGCAGGGACACGCAGCACAGCAACAGTAGCCCTGGGGGTGGGAGGTGAGGTCACGGCAGTGGGCGCGATCCACAGCATGGACAGCAAAGAGCTTATTAGGAGAAAATGCTCCAGCTGAACTCTTCCTCTTCCCTAAGTGGCCGAGGGGAGCTGCCCCTAAACCCTGTGCCAAGGCCTTTCTGCTCAGAAGTCAGAGACTGGGGAAGGCACTTACCAGATGCAGGTGGCAGTTCACTGGTGGAGCTTCCAGACCCGGCGCTTCCCCGGGTGGAGTTTGGAAGCCTCACGTCAGCCCCATCCTCAGGCTGGTCTCCCGGCTCTGCTCCATTGGCAGCAGATTCTGGAGGAAGACCCATGCCATAGGCACACTGTGGCAAGGGTCCATGCATGGGGGAACCCTCGAGGGGCTCACGGTCCTCCCCAGCAGGCCTCCCGCAGCCGGCGCAGCCATTGGCCGGGTGAGAGCTGGCTGCCCAGGAGGGGCACTTGCCAAGCTCCACCTCTTTTTGCAAGTGCTTTTCAGAGGACACAGGAATCCAGTCCGTCCTGTGCAAGGGCTCAGCGACGTTGCAGCTTTCTGAATCCACTGTGCCCTCTGTTCCTGTGAAACACTGGCTTAAACTGTCATTCTCCCCCACCTCCAGGGGCTCGGGGAAAGGGGGTGTGGATTTGCTTCCAGGCCTAGTCAGGAACGGTAAGCAGTCTGGGTTCTGTGAGGGCCTGTCCACGTACTCGTCTTCCATGGGAATCTGCTTGAAGGGGTCCCCCTCAACCTCTGGCTCGCTGACCAAGGAGAGTATCCCGGCATCTTGGTCCTGTGTGTATGGACCACCTCCTGCACACACATCCCCACAGACACCACAGCCATCTGGATAGCACATATCTTCTGGAAATGTCTTCTCCTCCAGAGTCAGCAGCAAGACACCTTCACACACTTCATGCTCACCGGAGGCCGCAGTGATACAACTCTCGTCTGAGGACTCCTGCAGGTTTAAATTTAGACGGCAGAGACATTAACAACCAACGTTATTAGGGCCCATTCGTCTGCCTCC